CCATCCAAAACTTTGCGGCTTGTTTTAGGTGATTAGCGAAGACATAAAACACTAAACACGAATATTTTCCAAGAGGAGCTGTTTACTATAGGCCGTAAGTATGTGGCCTACGCCCCACATTAAACCCTACTCTGTAGCAGAGATGGGGAGACGTTACGGTGATAACACATGATATTGTGTAAACCGGTCAACTTCCTCTTTGTCAGTTTGGCGATAGGCAGCCTGGCGTCGCGCTCAAGCAGGATGAAATTGCGGCGATGTCGATGTAATAGGGCCTGAATACAGCGGCCCAAGTGCTCTAGCGGTGACCGTCTATCCGGCTAGTAGCAAAGCTCAGTGAAGCGGCCAGGTCCGCTTTCAAATGATGGTGAGCACAGCTCTCGAAGACGGCCTTTCTATCAACTTCTCGTGTTCGTCCAGAGCGTAGCTGTTTCCCAAGTTGGTGCTGCCGGCGCTAAGCTCGGCCAAGAAACGAGATGCTCCTTGAGTTTCCTTGAGCTTTTACACAGCTGCTGTTCTCGAAGGTGATTTGTGCATCGCGTCCCAATTCGTACCCTCAAAACAGCAATTTACCATAAAGTTTCGCTAAACAGGACTTGCAGCAAGTATGGGCAATTTTGATACCAATAGAAAGCTTAGAAAATTCTGCGTAGAGCAGTATTAATTTATTGCCTGAGAGATGGCAGAAATGTGTTCAGGCTGATGGCGCATACTATGAATAGTGTTGTTGAGCAATTCTAATTATTTCTGGCTAATAAGTTCTGTTTATTGCTCTAGCGCCAAAACTTTTAAGAAGAACCTGATAATTTTTCTCTTGTATAAATTGGGTGGAAGGAGTGTTGAGTCCTAAAAGACAACGCTAGGAAGAGTGGTTATTTTAGTATACAAGGATGAAGTCAAGTATAGCATACCTTTTAGTACTTATTCTTATCTTTTTCTTGCTTTTACTTCCATTTCTATATTTTAAGAGTCTTAAAACTGTTTCCAGAAACCTTCTTCACTATTTTCACTATGAAACTCACTTGAGTCCTAATATATCTGTTTTGTCTGGGATAATCGTTTATGTAAACACTATTGTCGATGCTTCATAAAAGGTAAACACTTTAAGAAAAGTTCTCTTCTGTAAATGATCAGCAGTCGGATAACGTAACTACCACTCACAGGGCATGTGTTTCTAATATTTCGGATCGTCACCTGATGTGAATGACCTCGTCCTCTTCGTTGTAGTTTTTTGGCTTCCTCAAGCTCTTTCTCATCACTTTTTCCGATCTTCGTTTTTGTAAAGCTGGTAACGTGATTTTTCGATAAGCTCATTTGGAATGTTGGCGAATGTGTTGCTGATATTTTGATACGATCGTGTTATACTACCCATGTTACGGCTTCCGGGATTCCAGCGAGTCCTGGTGGTCCCATCGGTCCTGGTATTCCATCAGGCCCGATAACGCCGTCTACTGCTGATTTACCAGGCGGACCCGGTGGTCCCATTGATCCCATCGGTCCTGGTGTTCCGACTCCTCGCTGCGCTGATACTCCAGGCGTACCAGGAGCTCCAAGCTCCCCTGGTAAGCCAGGCGACCCATTATCGGCCACTGACCCAATCAAACCTGGCAGTTCTATTTTTCCAGTCTCTCCTGGTTTCCCTGGCTCTCCTGTTTACCTGGGAGGCCTCCAGGTTTGTCTAAGCCAGACGATCCTCGAGGACCATCGGGACACTTCACACAACCGCCTGCTCCTCCCAATTTCGAAATTTGAATGCCGCCATTTCCTCTTTTGTCTGGTTGCCCTGGAAGTCCGTCGTTTCCAGGCATTCCCATGAGACCGGGAGGACCAGATAGTCCAGCAGGACAGGTAATCGGTTGAGCAGCGCACTCACACTGAGGTGGCAACTGAAAGTTCTGGCTAAGTTGTGTCTGCCGTTTGTGTTTGAGCACATTTTGATCAGATCTTATGCTGTACCATGCAGAATTAGCTACATCCTGAAATAAAAGTGTCATTATAATGTTGACAATCAAGTGGCGGAAAAAGCAGCAAAAATATTCTTTGAACTCATTCAACTCCACAATTGTGTTCTCGTGGAAATTGTTTACATCGTGCACGAGATAACTCATTATGAACATGCATAGAGTGGTGATGATCATTGCGACGACGGTTGTAGTATGGACGGCTTTTGTGGAACCCATTTCAACTCTAAAATCGCGCCATTCACTAAACGTCGTGGATCAATTCAACATCTTCCAATAATTTTCACATAGCTGCTAATTTCTGGAGAGGGGAGGGAGTTAGTCCCGTAATTGCTTATGCACTTTGGCACTTTCGTCAATTTAATTGTTATACAATGGCAAAGGATTGCCTTCCTTCCGAAAAAAAGAAGGTGGTGATTAAAATCAGTCACATCTGTCAGTCACTTCTGAGCTGCCAAATGTAATCTTATGTAATCTTCGAATTTTTTTCTCAAGTACTGGTTCAGGACGTGAGAGAGTTGATAATCAAAAAGAGCAATATCAAAAACTAAACAGTGGATGTGGTATCGTGATCCAGCCCAGTTTCTCCAGAATGTGGAGAGCCGACGTTGCATTATGAGGTGGTCCATCAGTGCACGAGTTGTCATCAAAACATCACATTGCGGTTCATCTTATTCAAAATACGAGCGGTGGCACAACGACTATATCCAAATGTCTTTCAAAATACTAGGACATTCGTTAAAATACCACGCCATTTTGGCAATAATCCGATTTGAAATAGAAAAAGCCGAATGACTTTACGATGCGAACAAAATTATGGGACACCCCATTACTTCACTAGAATGATCACCCATTTCCGCTAAGTTTCTAACCAATCGTTACTGACTTAAGAGAATTGAGTGGTGAGCAAAAACACGACCTCATACAGGAGTCGAACCCGCGGTTAATCCATACCGGAGACGTGTGCTACCACTACATCACCGATGTACATTCGCACCACCACTTATTCTCGAAATATCTTATGACAGCTGCTGGCCCTAAACCTTCAACGGATTTGGTTGTGCATGCATTTCACTTTAATAGCCCAACTGATAAAACCACTCGTTTCCGGTATGGATGAAACGTGGGTTCGACTCCCGTCAGAGGTCGTATTTTTGCTCACCACTCAATACTCTCAGGTATATGAAACATCGTAACACTGTGAAAAAGGTAGTAAAAATATTAGAGATGATCGCTATTCAATTTGTTTATAACATACGCTCAAAAGGCAAGTAAGCAATCCAGTGTTAGGAATTCAACCCTCAAAACCACGAAAAGTTGCGATTTGACCCAACGTGCAAAACGCGCTAACAATCCGTTCACTGTCGGGAAAAGAAAGCCGTGTTGATCAGACAACACCCTCTAACACAGAATTCACGTTCTAGCCCGAGAAGTTCGATATTTGCCAGTCGAGCAGATTTCGAAATGCAGTAGTTGAGCCATACCAGGATTATTCCTGGATTATAGGAAGCACCAACTCGACAAGAATTCAATAGAATTCGTAAAGAAAGGAAAATGGCTTTGGGGCAACGTACAAATTGAGAAAACTTTGGTGGTGATGGGTGCGAGGGCAAGAGTTTGGTATGAATGCTGCGATCTGAACACAACATTCAATATCAATTCATATAAAATAAAATAATTGCGGTAGTTGCTACAAATGAGAGGCTTATACCATAACCGATCTCGTAGTATAGCTAAAAAATTTTTATATTTCATGGCATTTTTGTCCAAAATCATCAACATTTCTTAGAACTGAAGGATTTCTATGAATCTTTAGATATTTGTCTACAATTTCAAAGTGGGTAGCGCAGTGGTAATGATTCCGTTCATCTCACGAACAGCCTGGCATACCCAAGCGTTGGCTGACTCAGCATACTTTCAACAAATCATTCATTTGTCCAGGGCGGAAAACTGAAATCAAACTTATTTGAACAAGTTCTTCCTTCTTATACACGTATGAGTGGCTGAGCAGGACTATCTTAGGATTCTAGAAAAAATCAACTTGACCGGAATTCTACGACATCCACGACGATGCTAAAAACTCTTCAAATACCAGCCGAAGCTACTCGCACAAACCGTGCGAAGACTTTCCTGGATGATGTCGTAGGAAACGAATCGAATTTTAAGTTTTCCAAAAGTGCTAAAATTTGATACCAAAGCCGACGGATAACGATTATCACTGACTGCGAATTTATATCGTTAATTAAAAGTCGTCTACAGTAGAAAATTGATGTTTGCCGACAGTTCGATATGGTTCGCAAAGCAAGTGAGTAAAAATGGCGAAAATGTTAAGGAAAGAATTGTATAGAAATATGAGCAAAGACTTACCAGGTACACTGTGACGAATGTCGATCAGTGTAATATAAATGGGACAGAAGCTGGTCTTCTATAGAATTGGATGGAAGCTAGAAAAATTTGATGATTCTTTTACAACCGATCGTATTTCAATAAGTCCATGTTTTTGTTATGCAAGGAATGAACCTCCTTGCCTTCTTCTTTTCACTCTCTACTTCCTGCTTCCTTTTTTGTTAGGTACATATACGTAGTGAGAGTATGACCACTTTTTCTTCAACCATAAAACTTAGCTTTAACTAAGCATACATTCTGGTTGGGGTGTTGAAGAAGAGGGTGCTGGAGAAGACGTAAGAAATCGTTCTTTGCATCTGGTGCTAATTTAATACTTCACGCTTTTGTTATCAAGAACCAAGACTGGTTCCTCAAGGGGATTTTTTTCCCGAAAGGTTAAATCTCGAACTTGTTGTCTTATGCCCAGAAACAAACTCGTATTTTGGTTGATGCCAACAGCCTGTCAGAATTGAGTTCGTGTACAATAGCTCTTTGTTTTTACTTTTTAATAGTAACGTTATGTTGCTATCAAAATATATTTTAAAAAAAGTTATATACAATACTCCAAAATTCTATTATTTTTACTGCTTTTTTTCATCAGTGTTATGATGTTACATATATGCCTAAGAGAATTGAGTGGTGACTAAAACAAACGGCCTCACGCGGGAATTGAACCCGCGTTTCATCCATGTTAGCGACGCGTGCTACTACCACTACACCATCGAGGCACATTTGCACCACCACTCATTCTTCAACATGAATGAGAATGTCTCGTTGTCACTCGTGATATGAGTCAGTATATAAGACTGCTATTTTGATGGGTAAGGTGCATTACGAGTTCATGTGATCGCCTTCCGGTGATCTCCACTTGAATAGACATAAAAAGCGGTCAGTATGTTGAGAGTTGATTTTGTGCTTGATGTGATTGAAATCTAGGTCTGGTGATTTTTTCTGCATGAGCAATGGAGGTGTTTGACTGACTGGGTTGCGGACAATTTGACGCTTCCAGGCTCTGAAGAAGGCGAACTACCGAAACGTCAGCTGTCAAATAAAGTTTAATTCAACACCTCGTGCTTGGCTTGAAGAAGAAAATCAGGAATCATATTGAAGCATGCCGAGTTTAATAGACAGTCGGTCTTGGTAAATGTTAAAGAAATACTTTTGCAATGAGCGCAATATTGAACAAGATGGAAATCGTGCTTGCGTCTCCACACTTCTCTGAATAAAATTGATCTGTGCAGAGTTTACCATTCACATAAAAGTATAAAGCTACTGGCGTTGATTAACCCTTAAGATATGCGTCCTGCATCCACCTCCAATTTTTAGATTCGTTTTAGTTGATTCAATGCATATCTGGCTTTTACAATAATTTGCGGTGGCCTACCGGTATGTCAATTCAGTGTTGTTATCCTACCAAAAAGTTCGGTGAATTTGCCGATCTCGAAGGGATGTAAAGCTTGGTGGTTCGTGAGCTCGAATCGAAGACTGACCACGCGTGCGACACAAAGCATTTCTAACCACTTCGCCATATGCCCTCCTCATCTTCTGTACATCATTTGAGCTAATAATTCACAAATGACGTCTTCTTCTCCTTCAACTGACCACTTTGGCATTAATACGATAATTCAAGTTAAAGAAAAGTCGTATTCCACATCATCATAGCACTTATGATACTTCACCAATTTTGCGTTAACTTGAAGATGCTGAATCATCCAATTGTATTCGCTGTCGATGTAGTTGATCATAATACTTTTCCAGCAGCCGACTAATGTTTCGAGTTCTCTCAGCTTGCGGTAGTTCTGCAATATCGTTCATATTTGGCGGCTTTCTCCCGTTTCTTCAAGAATGATTTGTTGCCTGAAAGAGCGATATTTGATCTCGTGTGGAATTTTGGAAGAACAGCGTTATCGCCTTAATGGATCTTTCGATTTGCAAGATTTAGTCTGTCTTGTTATGCTACTCTCATTTAAAGATTTCCACGTCCACTGCTGAAAGAGGGATTTTTGGAATTGTGAATTCGCCATTGATGGTTTTCCTCGTCATGATGAATTTGAATGGCATCTCACCCTGTTCGTTTCATTCCAGCCCGCGTAACTCAATGTGACCATGTTCAATCGTTTTTCGAAGTTTAGATTCTGCGTCAAAACTTCCAATGATGACCTTAGAGAATGCGTTATCGTTTTAGAACAGAGCGCTTTTATTTCGTCAGTGTCACAGCTTTATGTTGGCGCATAAGAGACGAAGTGGCTAGAGCCGGCGTTGACCTACATCGTTTCAGCCGCAATCGTCCGATCCAGTTGGTATTCGTTCTAATAAATTGGCGTTCATAGTGAAACTCGTCCTGACAAAAATAGCAACGCCGCTGTCACCTCTACCATCGCATGTTCTCTGAGAAACAGTTCTTTTCCGGTGTCCTCAGTAGCACGTAATGTGTGGCTTCATCTCGTCTCAGCCAAGCCGATGTGGTCGTACTTTATCTTTTTTCACTGCATTAACAGATCGTCCATAGAAAATGTATTTGCAAATGTACGTGCGTTATAGTAACAGATCGTCACTTTAGTCCATTTCGATTTACTCAGCACATGTTAGTCCTAAGATTAAAAAGCCTTTCCTTAATTGTCCTATCCAACACTGTTGTACCGGGGTTTTTTTGGGGTTAAGGGCATGAGGCCCATTTTGTTATTCTTAGCAGCTGACAGTCGAAGTATAGTTGATAAGCTCTCAAAATGGAGCTAGGTACTCGTTGGTAGCTTGCCAGTCTCTTCTGCAAGGATAGCAGTAGCTTGATTGTAAGAGGTGACTCTCGACCACCTATTACGAGCAAAAGGCTTAATGGGTCAGAGTCGGGAATATACATATATTCTGAAAAACTCTTAAGCAAAGGTACAAATTCAGTCAAAGCCAATCTGCTTACATACTAGAAATTCTTTCATACAACTTAGTGAAATGTACATCGCTAAAAGTGCTTTCGAAATAATCTTTTACAAGATCATCGAATGAAATGCGCAACGAGAGTTTTGATACCAGATGTTGTCTTAGATATATGTTTCGTATTGAAAAAAGGGGGTTTTCGAGATAACTGAGGGATTTACTCAATGGTACGTTCATAGAAATCCCTTCAGTAATATTAATTCTTTTTGCAGTGGAAAAGTCTGCATAGAATAAAAATTTTACTATATAATACCAAAATAGATTTGTTGTGAAGGTTGCGCAAAGGTTTAAGTATTACAAACACAAAACGTAATTTCCTTTCTGTTGCTAAAGCGTAGAATACAGATCCTTCCATAAGTCAGAAGTAGGTTTTGAATCAGTATTTTTTAGACTAACGAATGATCACTAACAGTTCATTGAGAAAGTTCAGCTCTTCATAGAAAAGCAAGACGCGTTAGCACTTTCTTCGAAGCGCAGCTCCATTCCACACAACTAATTATGAAAAGTGAGTATTTTCAAGGCAACTGCGCGCTCTTTTGCAAGAAATATCTTAATAGATCTTAAGTAGCAATCTAAAAAAAAAACTCTTCGTAAAAGCCTCTTCTGTAATATCCCACTATCCAATGTTGATATGTCCTCTCAGAACCTCAAATTACGAAAAACTAGAGAGCGTGTGATGATAAAAACTTCCATCCGCTAGCTCGACTCACACGCGGCTCGCGGCACGGTCTAGAAACACGCAGCGTGGTTGCCAAGGGGTCAAAATCTTAATTTACCAAATGAATTCCCTCTTCACTGCTTCTTATGAGCGCCATTGAAAATCTTGGCAAGCCGTGCAATACCACTCGGTTCTGAGGAAAAATATCATACGTCTTGAAAGTAGTAGGCAGACCACCGCTAATGTATGCACACCAAGTCAATAGTTGTACACGAAATGTAGAAATTATGTCGCGTTCCTTGAAGAGTTACATCAGTTGAATGTGTTGTGTACCCATTTATATCCACTGCAAATACAAATTACCCTTAACATGTAGGCTCTATTCTTGTACTAATAGAGAAAAGACGTCATCTTTGCAAAAATTTTGAGACCGTGACAGGATCAAACACTAATTTTGTGATGAACGCAATCGCTCTCATTACGTCCGCCTACTCCTATAAAGTTCACTAATTCACTGTGTGAACGTAATCGCAAACATTCGCTTTTACCCGTGTGGTTTCAGCTATCGTTTGAAAATTTTTTGGGTTCTTTCCTACTATACGGAAACAAATGAATCAACGACCCTTTTCGCTGGACAAGGACTTTATATTGCACTTTCAATAATCATCCGAAAACTTGAACCTCTGAACACTGCGCTACGTGACCAATTTGAAAAGATTTTTCAAAGCGCCAATTAATTCGAAATAAAGCTATCATATAATTTACATTGGCTTCGTGCTTTGCTGTTACTTTCGCTGGTTAGCACGAAAAGCATGTTAACGCTTAGAGTTAGTCTTGTCTCAAAATCGTGCGTTTTATGAGGAGTTTTTTTCAAAGCGAGAAATTTATTCTCATTTGAATAACAAAAAAATGCGCTCCACATGTCGTCGAGCCAGAACGATCGGATTGATCGTCTCTTAAAGAGTCTCTTAGCGCAGTAGGCAAAGATTCGAGCTTTCGAATGACCACCAAGAGTTTTCGAATGACCACCAACACACTTGAGGAAATTTCTTGTCCGGCGGAAAAGACACGTTTCTTCATTTCTGACAACAGAAAAGAACCTCTTTTTGCTCTCATAAATGCCGTTGAATGTTCGTTAGGTCAGTTATCTTTCAATCCTGTGATAGCTATTCTAGAGCGTTCCCACGCAGATCAAGGGGAGCAGGTTGTCCCAGACAAGTCTGGTACCGATTATGCAACAATGAGCGTGTGAAAGGCTTGTTGGTCAGGATGAGAGTCGAGCAGGCGTATGGGAAAATTGGTTTGTAAGCATGTCAGACAGTGCGCTATCCGCCCCTCGTATTTCTTCCATTGAATCCTAGAAATATGAGAGAAGGAAGCCGATGATAGATATCCATTTTCTTGCTAAAATTTTTTCCTCGGCTACTACTTAATTTTTCCCATTCCATTCATAAATTATTCATAAGTTTTACCTTCGAATGGATCGCCCTCATTAAATGAAGTGCAGTCAACTGATTGTAAGACTTTGTGGGACCTTACCACTTTGGCGCAGGTGATACATATTAGGCCAAAAACAACGATATTTCAAACGTTCTGAGCACTCAAGCAACAGTGAGCTTCATGTCTCCTTTGAATTTTCTCAACTTATGTAGACAAGCACTTACATAATGGTTGCTTGTGCAAGTGCGCAATTGTATACTGTTTCTCCAATCTGCTAAAATTTTACACCATTACTAACCAGACGGTCGAATTTTTTACAAAAACCTATAACGGTATTTATATGTTAGACGGCGAGTAATTTACAAACCGATCTTACTCGCTAAAAGGAATTTTTGTAAGAGTAACAGCAATCATTCGAAAGCTTGAGTTTCTGGCTAAAGCTCCACGTAGTCGGTTTTTCAAAATACCCTTTCATAACAATAAATCCAGAATAAAATTATGCTTCACACTACCGCGGTGTTTTTTTTTTGCTTACTTCGCTTATATTTCGCTCGGAAAAGCTTCTTCCTTTAAAGTGCTAGTACACCATTCAGATAAGTACAAGTTCCAAAAGAACTCAACACCAATGTGTTTGCTCTCTGGGAAAATTCTTTTCATAGTGTTGTAGGAGAGCGAAAAGATTCGTGCTTCATACGTTGT